AATGATGGCAGTTGGTTTTATCATTTCAATTGTAATGAAAGAAAATTGTTGAAAATGTTATCAAGTAGTAAATAAAACCGATGCATTTGTAATATTTGCTACAAATTTTTCAAAAATTCAAATTGTTAAGTTGATTTTCAATTTACATTTCTACGACATTGTGTCGTTGCCGAAATGCCGTTGTTGATTGGCTTTTGGTTATTGGTCCTGATATGGTAGTTATTAATCAAATCATCTCATTGAGCACTGGATTGATGACAATTACAATTTAATTTTTTCTTTAAATCTTTCTCATTTTAAAGTCACAGGAAACACTTATGTGGCCAACTATACGCTTTTTTCGCCACGTCTATTTTTGATTGAATCTTTGATTATAATTTACAGTCATAGAGGTTGTTGTGCAAAAATTTATATTGCCGCAGTTATTACATTTTAATCCGTAAAATTTTTTCTTCTTGTTAAAGTACAGCTTTTCTTTAAGAAACAACTTGTATTGAAGAAAATTCTTACGATATTGGGCTAATTGTGAACATAAACTGCCTTGTTTTCCCGGCGATAGCGATGATATTATCCTTTAAGTGAGTGTTTGAGTTCTAACTCCGGCATGTATCAACTAAAGCTTAATGAACTCTAAGGACAAAATTACAAAACTTTTTTCAGGTATCAGTTCAACTTTTGTTACTAATGACGCTGCTGTCAACTTTTACTGTAAAACCTCATGAATTTGACACTTAAAACTTACATTTTTTTTGATATTACACATCTTAAACTTTGATTATAGAGCATTATGTTGGGCTGCTTCTCTGCTTGCTGCTTCTTCGGAAAAGAAATTGAAAGAAAAACAATGTGAAAAATTTTGGAAACGATCTTGGTAAGTTTTACATCAGTAAATGTGATCCGACTAAGGAATTATACGCATAGAACTGCAAATATAAAGAAAAAAAAGTTTGCTAAACGTGATTTGCATAACTTTTTTGAAAATGACACAAAGTAACAAGAAAAAAAATCTGTAAATGTATACAACGGAAGAACATTAATGTAAGAAGAATAAAGGTAATGCAGCAGTTTAAAGTCAGACATTTCTGCAGACTCTTTGTAGACAAATTTTGCAGCTTTGACGGCAATCTATTTATTTATCACATTTACAAACAAAATTTCTTGGACTTTAAGAAACGACAGCTAGGAAAAATTGCAGTTTATTCTAAAGAAGAATTTTGGGCTTGAAATACACAATTTTTGAAATTTTATCGAGCTATCGAGATTTTGTTCTTTATAAATGGAAGAGAGGGTAACTTTATTTGTGCCTATATCGATTATTGACTTATACCGTTTATTCTAGAAGTACTGTACAGATAAATTCAGCTTATTATCTCTGTGCTATTCTTTTTCAAGATGGTAAATACTTACTCATCGACCTCATGAATTTGTCCACTACTTCCAAAAAAAAAATTGATTTCTCTTTCTGCTCAATACATTATGCCCTACTAAACTGGCATTACAGCAGCAGTTTTATGATGAACGAGGAACAATTTGAAAGATCACTGGAACAACAGATTTATGAAGCGAATGAAAAGTATTACAAACGGTTGAAATAATTTGTGTTTGGTCAAAATCTTTTAAAACGTTTAGAAACATAAAACTTTTCTGTGTTCTGCTCACGCTCACAAATTGACTACAGGGAATTTTAGACAGCACCATCTAGATGAATTCTTGATCAGAAACCTATCGACCAACCCAACTGATTTACATTAATAAACAAAAAAATAAAATAAAATGAAATAAGAAGGAGCATTGAGAAACTTTTTAGACTTGTTTTGTCTCTTTGAGTTTCTTTCCCATTAAAAGTGTTGTTTAGGTTGTTTAGCCAATTAATATATCGTATGTTGCGATTAAAATCTTTACGCCTGACGACAGTCTATGCGTTTTTGTGAGCAATAACTTTTTAATCTTCATCTGATAATTCTATACAAAGTAGTAATAGAAAGCAAAAATTACGTGTATTATGAAATCTTTTAAAATAAGTGCCAGTATTGTTTAATTCATACATTCTTCATTATGTTGCTCATGTAAAAATTATTATTATATATAAACAACTGTCTGAGTTTTTGCCTTCTGGTTGACCATTTTTCTTCATACCAATGAAGCATACTGATGTAACGAAGAATAATGCTCAGCTTTGTTTTGTACGGTTATTTATTTCACCCTCCTATCATATCAAATTTACAACTGCACTTTAACAGTAAAGATGTTTCAATGACAAAAGAACAAGGAAAAAAAACAACTTAACAAGATGGATAACGCAAATGTGGAAAGAAAAGTACCATTTAGAAAAAAACCAACTATAATCTAGATACAATAATTCTTTTTTTGTTTTTTTTTTTCTTCTGTTAAAATACTTCAATTACATATTATTAACAAAGTAAAATTTTGAAAAAAAAAGGGAGAAATTTCTAGCTATTTTTTTCTGTTTCTGTATTTTTTATAGATTTTCTACGAATCACAAGGGGGTAAATTCCTATTTGTTCTTCTCAACTATCACTAAGGAGTTTCCACTAAATGGTATTTGGATATTTCCCAAACCAAAACAGAACGTAGTCAAGTTTCCTCTGTTGTCTTCCAGCTGTTCATCAAAAAAAAGCTTTTATTTTTTTTTGTTTTTGAAGATGCAAATAACCATGTATTTTA